GGTTTTTCCTCTTAGCTAAGAGCGTTTTCCGTCTTAGCGCCTTCGTGGCGGCTACGTCCGTATTCAATTAACTACCCTAAGTGGAAAAACCTTCGTAAGTTCATTCCGGGATTTAAGTGTGGTTTCGACCACTCGTAGCTTTACGTAAACTGGATATAAGTCATTTTTTCTCTACTACATAACACTGGGATCGATTTATGATATTGGAACATGACCAAAATATTATAGCTGGTGAATCTAGTGAAGAGGAGTCCTTCGTGTTAGTTATATATGCATTCTCTGCTTGAAACTTGAAGTAAATATGTGTTTGATGATAGTAGAATTAGTTTTATAATAGCAAGATATTATACCAGTAGTTATTAAGTAAATAAACACTGGTGAACATGAAATATGAGAGAAGGTGATGAGCCCTGCCTGATGGGATCATTTACTATCACCAAATGCCCCTGTTCACCTAGTAGTAAGGGTGTACCTTAGCTATACATACCCATTTCTAATTTATTTAGTTTGGTTTTATTTTGAAATTAAATCTGGGTGAGACATAAAATAAAAATATGCTGCACAAATGATGTTAGGTAAGGAAAAGGGTAAAAATGTCAAAAACTTTATTCATTGAATACTTAAAGCTATAATTATGACTATATAGACTATTAAAAAAGAGAGAGGGAAGTAGGGGTCCAAGACCTCTTCCTGTTATACAATTTGGGTGTGGAACAAGTAATTATCAAAAGAAGGCACCATGCCGGGAAGGCTATGTAGCAGTAAGGCAGTGAGGTGAGGCAGCTACTTATTTGAGAAATGCTTATTTTATTTACCTTATAAGCTGAGGCAACTTATTTTATTTGAGGAATACTCAGGTGATTCCTCTACATTTAGCATGGAACAAATTTGTGTCCAAGACCTCTTCCTGTTACTCAATTTGGCTGTGTGTAACCAAACTAGAAGTGCTCTACAAATCAAGGGACCCAGAATGTGGAATGACCTCCCGAATCATGTCAAAGGCTGTACCTCTCTCAACCAGTTTAAGAGTTAAACCAAGTACTGCCTAATTAACTCCATGTAACCTAACTTACCTCCTAAATGTCAACCCATGTCTTGCTATTTTTTAAACAACGCTGTTCACCAACATGTGCAATTGCTGATTTATGCTATGTTAACCCCCTTTTTGTATTTTTTATTCCTTCTTTCAACACAATTTATACCTAATCCCGATTACTATTAAGTTTTAGTCTGTGTTTTTTTCCCCCCACACCTTGCCCGAAATGCTATGAGTATTAGTGGCTTTAGGTATTGTATGTACTAGCTCTGCCTATAGATCCAACATTATGTTTGTAAATCAACTGTATGTACTTTTCCTGAATAAAATGTATTTATTATTTATTTTTTAATCAGTAAGTATTAAAAGAAGGCACCAAGCTGGGAAGGCTATGTAGCACCATTGTGTGTAACAATAAACCAAATTTTTTTAACAAATAATGCACCTGTATGGGAAAACAAATCCTGTCAGCTGTAAAAATATTGATGCAGTTATTTAAATGAAAAATATAATGAAAGAAATATTACTGGTTTATTTTTATCCTATCTTTTTGTACTGTACAGTATATCCAAGGAAGTGAAAAATTGAGACATAATGCACAATTTAATTGTGCATTAAAAATTGTGCAAAAAAAGCTACACAGTATCTCTTAGAATTACGTAGGTAAACAACAAATGTAACATATTTGTTTACTACAATGTCGGTGCTGGCTGTAGAAGTTGAAAAAACATTGTTTTACTTCGAAATATACTAATTTTTATAAGAAATTTTACGAATTTTATAAGAAAATTCGACGTAAATAGGAGGCAGTAGAGCTCTGATAAACCAGCGCTAAATCTTCAATATGAAGAATGTTGCTGCTCTCTGATTGGCCAAACAAAACACAGTAGTGACCTCTATCGGCACGCAGGTGAACCAACAATTTTCTTCCTAAGTATACCTTATTGAATCGCACCTAAGCATCTTCTTAGGGCATACTTAGGAACCTTCGTAGCAAACCCACTTACGAAGAAATACACAGAGCTTCCTGAATCTAGGTCCTGGTGATCACAGCACAAGGTTGGGGACGAGGGACTTGACCCAAAGAGGGAGAGGAGGCGCGCACATCCTCTCAGCTCAAGGCCTGGCCAGCGAGTGCTTGGGACAGTGTAAGGAGTGGGAAGGTGTAGGGGGAGGATGGGTGAGCGGTCACCAGGGTAGCATATGTCAAGCCCCGTACCCAAGTGAGCCACACGGAGTTGTATATTTGAGATATTGAGACCTACTGTAAATTAATTATTTTAAGTCACTCTGTACACCTTATTGATGACCTAGAGAGGGGTACCTACCGTCAGGTCTCCCCGAGCAAGCACGCCAAGGTGAGTTTGAAGAGATGTCCTTATGACAGGGTTGGTCGCCTGTCCTCTCCTCTCCCTGGTATCAATGTTGTCTCCACGTGCTACTGTTGTCTCCACGTGCTCCTGGTAACATTCGTTCCTATCTTCCTCACTGGTCGTCACCACTATGTGCACTTAGTATACGATCCTAAACGGTGCACACACTTCGGGGGATCAATCACTATGTATGCTACAATCCGCTTCACAACACATTACTCAGCAAGCAAATCGTAGGTCCTGGCTAGGCTGGGTGGCTAGGCTGACTCATCGGTACACACTGATCTTGCCACTTTACCTTATTTTTGCTTTCTTAATTGCTCTACCGCTGTAGGAGCTCACTATACACTTGATCACTGCGTTTACGTACACTCCTGTGACAAAAAACTATGTTTCTTGTCTCCGTAACACTTCAATGTCTCGAGGTAATTGAGGTTATTCGCGGACCAGACACCACGTGTGACTCTCTCCACACAGGCGAACGAGCTGTGTGAGGTTCAGCAGCTGAACCTGAGCAGATAGTGGTCCAGCAACTGCGACAGGCAAAAGCTCCCTGTTCTGAAACCATGTTGTCCGGGGTTATGGAGATGCTGTGATTCCATGTATTTTGTGATCTTACTTCTTAGCACTCTCAAAATTTTTTATGATGTGCGATGTTAGTGCTATCGGTCTGTAATTTTTTGCCTCTGCCTTATTTCCTCCTTTATGAAGTGGTGCTATCTCTGCTGTTTTAGTATATCAGGGATAACACCAGTGTCTAGGCTTTGTCTCCACAGAATGTGGAGGGCCTGCGATAGTGGTTTTTTATAGTTCTTGATGAATATGGAATTCCAAGAATCCGGGCCTGGTGCAGAGTGCATAGGCATACTGTTTATGGCTTCTTCAAAATCCAGTGGGGGTTTCCTAAACAAAGAGGAAGGAGCAGAATGTCTTCTTACAGTACGCTTACACGGCACTGCAAGAGACCGCCCAACAGTGATCCAGCCACAGCGACCTCTACTTCAACTAAGAGAGCACTTGAGTATCTGGTTTGTATTTCTAATTTTACGAGGCCTTTTAAATTTAGATTTAAACGTGCCAGTTATGAGAGGGGTTTAAACCCCAAACAGAGTGAGTAGTGGTTTACTCAGCAACTCCTAAATATTTCATGTCACACCTGTACTTTATATGTTAATGGAGCCATTATTAAGCCCTAACTTTTTACAGGTAAGTTTGTGACTTGGAGACATCAGTGTGCTGGCCAACATAAACTGTGATGTTTCTTGCTACCCTAGCTAGTACACAGACGCCATTACAAGGCCCCTGGACCACATGTAGCCACACCCTAAACAGATGTTGGAAGAACCACACACAGCCTAATCAGGCCATAGCAACCAAACAGCTAAGGCCTCAGTTTCTTTTATTTAACACAGTAGATAACTAAAATCAATGATAATAGTAGTTTAAGCCACCAAATGTGGTATAATTTATATTTAGCTAGAGGTAAATATTTACAACTTAATATGTATCCACTCATTGTGGTATATGTTGTAAATATCCCTCCAAACTATGTGCAGATAAGTTCTGACATCAGGCTGAATCAAATATACAGTCCGCTTAAAATCATAATAATTCAATATTGAAGTTAACAAAAATTATAATAAAAATAAATGAATGCCTGCTAGGATTTTCCCACAACACCATTAACACGTGGCCCCCTGGTTTTGTGCCCGCGACACCAGGCACAAAACCACGGGGCCAGGTCTTGGACACACCACCCAGGACTTTCTTTTTAAGAGGACAGGTTGCACTGCGGAAGCTACACTCACTCCCTAATGAATTAAAATATTGTCGAACCGATGCTTTGTTCAAAGGTAAAACCAAAAAGTACCTAAAAAGTACCCAAATATACCAACAAACATTTTGTGCTACATATTCCCCTAATTTTAGATTTTAATGTATGGTACTTCACATACCAGTGTAATCACTCCCATCAATTTATATTGTAGTTATAATGGTAAACTCAGATTTTGCTACAATGTTCCCAATAACAATATTACCTTTATTTGATAGTTTAAAGACCTGCCTGAAACGCTATGCATGTTATTATCTTTGCAAGAATGCAACAACACATATATTATTATGTACTCTCACAACCCAATGTACTTTCTTGTATATAAATAAATCCATAAAATAATTGATTAAAGTAAACATTGATCTTTAGTATTTTCCTCTCCCAATAAATCTTGGATCTATGTAGTTAGGAAATTTAATCTAAACATGAAGTCTTGGAGAGTTCCAGAGGTAATCAACAACATGGGGATCATATACCCCAGGCGAGTGGCAAGCAAAAATAAACTGGGAGGGATCAAATAGTCAATATTAGATGAGAGGAAGACGGCTTTGTGGATCAGCGGACGATCCATTGTTTAACAGTTCACAGTCTGCCGCTGATGACGTAAAGAATAACATATTCAAACCTGACGAATATCAGAACAGTTACTACGATCTAAGTAAGAATTGAAATGAGGACATTAAAGATGGGTCTCAGGAGCTGGTGCACAACTTTGCAACCACTTTTTATGTGAGCAGAGTGAATGTCGGTGTCTGACCTGTGTGGGAAGAGGTGACGGAGGCGCGGGAGGAGGAGCAGGTCATGGTGGAGGCTGGAGCAGTAGGAGGCTGGGTCCCTGCACTCTCGCGACCTGCACCACGACACGCGCGTCCGCGACCTGCGACAATATATACAGCATGAGAAAATAAATTAGTGCAATGAGGTGACTTGAACCGCCGTTCTAGTGATTCCCAGACACCTGCCTAAACCCACTCGGCCACCATAGGACAAAGGACACTTATCCCAGAACTCTGCTGAACTCACAGGCAGGTTCTGGAGGCCCCAAACCGGTACCACAACCAGGATTTTATGAATATCCTGCCTACACTGAGGCCTGAGGGTAATGGTGTTCTCACCCATACACTTCACAACACACAGAAACCACAATGGCGTGATATATCAATGAGAAAATATTGATACGTCGCATCACTGTGAATGTTTGTGTCAGGTACAGTATTTTATTCATTCAATATATTACCGTTGTAATAATAATAATATTGCACAATGAAATCACTTTAACGTGAAGTTTAAATGAGAAAACCAGTTGGATCCCTGAAAAGGATTCGAACCTGCACACTTGGTCCTCCCAACCATACGCCCTAGACCACTACATGCTCAATAGCAATATTCTCATTAAATTTCTCAATTATTTTCTCATCGATTCCTCACGTTAATGTGATTTTCTTTGTGCATTTGAAGAGAAGCATTGGAGATAGAACTAGTGGACCACAGCCAGAGTGCATGGACCACAGCCAGAGTGCATGGACTACAGCCAGAGTGCATGAACCACAGCCAGAGTTCATGGACCACAGTCAGAGTGCATGGACTACAGTCAGAGTGCATGGACCACAGCCAGAGTTCATGGACCACAGTCAGAGTGCATGGACCACAGCCAGAGTGCATGGACCACAGCCAGAGTTCATGGACCACAGTCAGAGTGCATGGACTACAGTCAGAGTGCATGGACCACAGCCAGAGTTCATGGACCACAGCCAGAGTGCATGGACCACAGCCAGAGTGCATGAACCACAGCCAGAGTTCATGGACCACAGCCAGAGTGCATGGACTACAGTCAGAGTGCATGAACCACAGCCAGAGTTCATGGACCACAGTCAGAGTGCATGGACCACAGCCAGAGTGCATGGACCACAACCAGAGTTCATGGACCACAGTCAGAGTGCATGGACTACAGTCAGAGTGCATGGACCACAGCCAGAGTTCATGGACCACAGTCAGAGTGCATGGACTACAGTCAGAGTGCATGGACCACAGCCAGAGTTCATGGACCACAGCCAGAGTGCATGGACTACAGTCAGAGTGCATGAACCACAGCCAGAGTTCATGGACCACAGTCAGAGTGCATGGACTACAGCCAGAGTGCATGAACCACAGCCAGAGTGCATGGACTACAGTCAGAGTGCATGGACCACAGCCAGAGTGCATGGACCACAGCCAGAGTTCATGGACCACAGTCAGAGTGCATGGACTACAGTCAGAGTGCATGGACCACAGCCAGAGTGCATGGACCACAGCCAGAGTGTATGGACTACAGCCAGAGTGCATGAACCACAGCCAGAGTGCATGGACTACAGTCAGAGTGCATGGACCACAGCCAGAGTGCATGGACCACAGTCAAAGTGCATGGACCACAGCCAGAGTGCATGGACTTCAGCCAGAGCGCATGGACCACGACCAGAGTTCATGGACCACAGCCAGAGTGCATGAACTACAGTCAGAGTGCATGGACCACAGCCAGAGTGCATGAACCACTGCCAGAGTGCATGAACCAGAGCCAGAGTGCATGGACTTCAGCCAGAGTGCATGGACCACGACCAGAGTTCATGGACCACAGCCAGAGTGCATGAACTACAGTAAGAGTGCATGGACCACAGCCAGAGTGCATGAACCACTGCCAGAGTGCATGAACCAGAGCCAGAGTGCATGGACCACAGCCAGAGTGCATGGATCACAGCCAGAGTGTATGGACCACAGCCAGAGTGCATGGACCACAGCCAGAGAGCACGGATCACAGCCAGAGTGCATGGATCACAGCCAGAGTGCATGAACCACAGCCAGAGTGCATGGACCACAGCCAGAGTGCATGGACCACAACCAGAGTGCATAAACCACAACCAGAGTGCATGGACCACAACCAAAGTGCATGGACCACAGCCAGAGTGCATGTACCACAGCCAGAGTGCATGGACCACAGCCAGAGTGCATGAACCATAGCCAGAGTGCATGGACCACAACCAGAGTGCATGGACCACAGCCAGAGTGCATGGACCACAGCCAGAGTGCATGGACCACAGCCAGAGTGCATGGACCACAGCCAGAGTGCATGAACCATAGCCAAAGTGCATGGACCACAGCCAGAGTGCATGGACCACAGCCAGAGTGCATGGACCACAGCCAGAGTGCATGAACCATAGCCAAAGTGCATGGACTACAGCCAGAGTGCATGGACCACAGCCAGAGTGCATGGACTTCAGCCAGAGTGCATGGACCACGACCAGAGTTCATGGACCACAGTCAGAGTGCAAGCCAGGAATGCGTTAAATCCGTGATTAGAAGTCAATGGAAGCCTCAGGACCGTCCTACAGGATTCAGCTGAATCCCAGGTTGCATGCCTTTTGACAATGTCATGGGGTAGTGGTGCAGGGCGTGTGCGGGTAGTACCAAGTGTGTTCACCTCATGGCTCTTGATTTTATCAATAATAATACAAATCTAATAATAATAATATTATTAAATCATACACAATAAATATCATTAATTAAAGTAGATAAAAAACAAGACTGTAGTTTATACTGTATCATTAAGAGGTGTAGCAAAGCCCGCTACACCTCTCCTACATTACTGGCTACACACATTCTCATTCTCCAAGCCCATCTTCACCTGCTGAATACTTGGTGTCGCTGAAGATACATATTGTTAGCGTCACTGATGACACATATTGTTAGCGTCACTGATGATACATATTGTTAGCGTCTTTGATGATACATATTGTTAGCGTCACTGATGATACATATTGTTAGCATCACTGATGATACATATTGTTAGCGTTACTGATGATACATATTGTTAGCGTCACTGATGATACATATTGTTAGCATCACTGATGATACATATATTTAGCGGCACTGATGGTACATACATTTAGCGTCACTGATAACACATATTGTTAGCGTCACTGATGATACATATTGTTAGCGTCACTGATGATACATATTGTTAGCGTCACTGAAGGTACATACTGTTAGCGTCACTGATGATACATATTGTTAGCGTCACTGAAGGTACATACTGTTAGCGTCACTGATGATACATATTGTTAGCGTCACTGATGATACATATTGTTAGCGTCACTGATGATACATACTAATAGCGTCTCTGATGATACATATTGTTAGCATCACTGATGATACACTCTGTTAGCGTCACTGATGATACACTCTGTTAGCGTCACTGATGATACATATTTTTCGCGTCACTGATGATACATATTGTTAGTGTCACTAATGATACATGTTATTAGCTTCACTGATGATACACACACTGCTATAGTCACTGATGATACATACTGTTAGCGTCACTGATGATACATTCTGTTATCTTCCCTGATGATACATATTGTTAATGTCACTGATGATACATATTGTTAGTGTCACTGATGATACATATTGTTAGCGTCACTAATGATACATACTGTTATCTTCCCTGCTGATACATATTGTTAGTGTCACTGATGATACATATTGTTAGTGTCACTGATGATACATATTGTTAGCGTCACTAATGATACATACTGTTATCTTCACTGATGATACATATTGTTAGTGTCACTGATGATACATATTGTTAGTGTCACTGATGATACATATTGTTAGCGTCACTGATGATACATATTGTTAGCGTCACTGATGACATATATTGTTAGCGTCACTGATGATACATATTATTAGCGTCACTGATGATACATATTGTTAGCGTCACTGATGATACATATTGTTAGCGTCACTGATGATACATATTGTTAGCGTCACTGATGATACATATTGTTAGCGTCACTGATGATACATATTGTTAGCGTCACTGATGATACATATTGTTAGCGTCACTGATGATACATATTGTTAGCGTCACTGATGATACATACTGTTATCTTCACTGATGATACATATTGTTAGTGTCACTGATGATACATATTGTTAGTGTCACTGATGATACATATTGTTAGCGTCACTGATGATACTTATTGTTAGCGTCACTGATGACATATATTGTTAGCGTCACTGATGATACATATTGTTAGCGTCACTAATGATACATACTGTTATCTTCACTGATGATACATATTGTTAGTGTCACTGATGATACATATTGTTAGTGTCACTGATGATACATATTGTTAGCGTCACTGATGATACATATTGTTAGCGTCACTGATGACATATATTGTTAGCGTCACTGATGATACATATTGTTAGCGTCACTGATGATACATATTGTTAGCGTCACTGATGATACATATTGTTAGCGTCACTGATGATACATACTGTTAGCGTCACTGATGATACATACTGTTAGCGTCACTGATGATACATACTGTTAGCGTCACTGATGATACATACTGTTAGCGTCACTGATGATACATACTGCTAGCGTCACTGATGATACATATTGTTAGCGTCACTGATGATACTGTTGTCACTGATGATACATATTGTTAGTGTCATGGATGATACATATTGTTAGCGTCACTGATGATACATATTGTTAGCATCACTGATGATACATATATTTAGCGGCACTGATGGTACATATATTTAGCGTCACTGATAATACATATTGTTAGCGTCACTGATGATACATATTGTTAGCGTCACTGAAGGTACATACTGTTTGCGTCACTGATGATACATATTGTTAGCGTCACTGATGATACATACTAATAGCGTCTCTGATGATACATATTGTTAGCATCACTGATGATACACTCTGTTAGCGTCACTGATGATACACTCTGTTAGCGTCACTGATGATACATATTTTTCGCGTCACTGATGATACATATTGTTAGTGTCACTAATGATACATGTTATTAGCTTCATTGATGA